ATGTGTGTGTCTCTTGCAGATATTTTCTCCAAATCTTTGTGTAGCTTGTCTTCTCATTCTTATGACATTGTCTTTTGCAGAGCTGAAGTTTTTAATTTTAATGAAATCTAGCTTATAAGTCATTTCTTTCATGGATCTTATGGATCTTTCTTTAATTGGTGTTATATCTAAAAAGTCATTACGTACGTACGTAATCGTGTGTGTACATATGCATAAAAGCATATACGATTGTATGCATTGTCACTATTATGCGTACAAACTATTATCTTTTAGATTGATTAAGAATAAGAAAAACTCAGCCTGGGTAACATAGTAGACCTTGTCTCTACAAAAAATAGAAAAAAATTAGCTGGGCATGGTGGCATGCACCAGTAGTCCCACGTATTTTGGAGGCTGAGGCAGGAAAATTGCTTCAGCCTAGAAGTTTGAGGATGCAGTGAGCTATGATTGGGTCACTGCACTCCAGCCTGGATAACAGAGAGTCCCTGTCTCAAAAGAAAAGGGTAAATTTTTCCTGAAGTGGAAGATCCCTGAAAAAAAAAGAAAAAAACTAAAAGTGTATATGTGTGTGTGCGTGTGTGTGTGTGTGTGTGCGCATGCGCGCACGTATTTGAGACAGAGTCTTGCCTCCCAAGTAGTTGGGACTACAGGCGCACACCACTATGCAGGGCTAATTTTTTCTCTTTTTACTTCAGATGGGGTCTCTTGCTCAGGCTGGCCTAGGACTTCTGGCCTCAAGTGATCCTCCCACCTCGGCCTCCCAGAGTGCTAGGATTACAGGTGTGAGCCACCGCGCCTGGTCCACTTACTGTCTAATGCTCTTCCTTTCTTCATATAGATCCATGAATCAGACCTATACCTTTTCCTTCTCTCTGAAAAATTTCTTTTAACATTTCTTGTAAGACAGGTCTACTGATGGCAACAAATTCCTTTAGTTTTCATTTGTCCGAGGAATTATTTTGCCTTTACTTTTGAAGGATGATTTTAGAGGGTACAGAACTCTAGGTTGGTGGGTTCTGTTTTTTAACACATAGAATGTTTTACTCCACTGTCTTCTTGCTTACAGAATTTTTTGAGGAGATGTTTTATTTTTTTATTATCTTTGTTTCTCTGCAGGTGAGGTGTTCCCTCCCCAGCTTTCTGTTTTTCTTAATATTTGATTTCCTATATTTTAAAAAATATTTGCCTAGTTGGAGATGTTTGGCATTTACCCTGCTTGATGTTCTCTGAGCTTCCTGGACCTTTGATTTTGTGTCTGACATTAATTTGTGGAAGTTTTGAGACATTATTGTTTCAAACATTTCTCTCTCCTCTCCTTCTGATGTTTTCATGACTATTACTTTGTTTTATTTCTGTATTATCAGTTTTATAGTTGTCCCACCATTCTTGGATGTTGTTCTGTTATTTTCAGTGTTTCTTCTCTTTATTTTTCAGTTTTTGAACTTTCTATTGATGTATCCATAGCTCAGATATTCTTTCCTCAGCCATGTCCAGTCTTTAGATAGCCAGTCAAAGACATTATTCATTTCTGTTATAGTATTTTTGATCTCTACTATTTCTTTCTTAGGACTTCTGTCTTTCTGCTTATATTGACCTTTGATTTGGTCAATCTGTTCTTGAATGGCATTTACTTTATCCATTAGAGCCCTTAGCTTATTACTCAGACTTTCTTCAAATTCCCTGTGTGATAATTCCAATATCCTAACCTTGTTCTGTTGCTTGCTCTGTCACTTCAAATTGTGTTTTTTATCATGCACTGTAGTTTTTTTCCTTATAGCCAGACAAGATGTACCAGATAAACGGGACTGCTATGTATATACATGCAGGGATGTGGCGAGGTTTGGAGAAGGGGTAGCTGTCTTAGTTTGTTCAGGCAGCTCTAACCAAGTACCTTGTACTGGGTAATTTATGAACAACAGAAATTTATTTCTTACAGTGCCAGAGGCTGGAACGTTCAAGATCAAGGTGCCAGTAGACTTGTCTGGGGAGGACCCTTTCCTCATAGATGGCACCTGCTAATGTGTCCTCACATAGTAGGAGGGGAACAGAAGGCTCCCTTCAGCTTATTTTTTAAGAGCAATAGCCCACTGTTCCCTCATGACCTAATCACCTTCCAAAGGCCTCGCCTCTTGATTCTAGTGCCTTGTAGATTAGGTTTCCATGTATGGATTTTGGGGGGACACAGACATTCAGACTATAACAAAAGTTTTCTGTAGTCCCATCAGTAGGTCTCATTCTTTTAGTTAGCCCCTCCCTCTGGACTGTGAATTTCACAGGTGTTATTCTGTTTCTTTTTGTTTGTATTTTAGGTGGGATATGATAGCTGAAGTAAGTTGGAGTTGGGTGTTTCCCTTCACCCAGGTCATTAAGGCTCTGGTAATACTAGACCAGATAAGGCTCTAGTTAAGTAGTTTCTCTTGAGAGCAGGCCTTGTTAAAAACAAGACCATACTTTTGCATATTTCAAAATAATTTGCCTTTTCCCCTCTTGCAGGTAGAAGCAGAAGGGGAGTTTTCTCCAATATTTATTGTAGAAGCCCAGTCAAGCTCCTAGAGGTAAATCTCACAATATCGTGGAAGTCCCCCCGTGACTGGGTCCTCCTGGAGTTTTTTAACTCTCAGAGTTGTCCACCCTGAGCCCCTAGCAACTCGTTAGTTACAATTCATATTTTTCCTACTCCTGCGCTGGTTCCCGTGGCAGTTTTTGCTAGTGAATCTCTGGTGCTGTGACCCATGACTTTCTACATTTGCCTCTCGTCTGTCCAGCTTTGGGGACAGAGTTTGTCCTGTGTCCTCTCTCTCTCACAGATCCAAGAAGAGTGGATTTTTCAGTCTCTTCAGCTTTTCATTTGTTGTTAGGATGGAATGATGACTTCCAGGTTCCTTATATGCAGAAATAGAAGCCAGGAATGTATTTCTAAGAGTGCTTTGTCAATGTCTATGTGGATAATCAAAGGTTTTTCTTCATCTGTGAGCATGATGAATTCATAGATGAATGTGATTAATTATATTAGTAGATGACTTAATATTGAGCTTTTCTTTATTTGTGGGATAAACTTAGAGGCTTTCCTCTTGTTCTTCACAGTCTGTTTCTCTTTATCTTCAAATATTAGTGTTTCTACAAATTCTGTAATTATTCCTGTTTTTCTTTCAATCTTTTAGGTTCATTCACTCTGATAGCTTCAGATCCCATTGAAATTCTGATACTTTCTAAATCTTTATCTTTTGCTTAGATGTCTTCAGAATTCTAGAATCATATATCCAACTGCTAGTTGGATACCCTACATATGACACCTTAGATATTTCGAATATGGTGTGTCTAAGTCTGTCACTTCAGCTCATCAGTCATTCTTCAGTTTTCCAAATTTCACTTTACAGTACCAGTTCCTACCGAGACACGATCATGCAGATAGCCTGGAGGTGAACCTCTCCTTTTTACCCTCTGCACAGCAAGTTAGTACCAGATTATGTTCCTGCTTTTTCTTTTCCTTTTTTCCTCTTTTAGGATTGCTTCCCTATTCTGTATTCTTACTGCTTTGTGTCCTTATACAGGTGGTTATTAGTCTCCCTGTTTTCTTCACATCTGACTCTCCCTTAAGTCTTTCCCCTTCTCCTTCTAGGGGATGATTGTTAAAAGGTGTATCTGGTTGTGTTACATACTTGTTCTTACGACCTCATTATTTACACACTGTGGTTTGGGAAGTAGCAGTGTTCACTCTGGAGTGGACACAGCAATCTTTTGGCACGTAGAAAGGAAATTTTGGGATACCCATATACATGCTTTTAATTTATAATGAAAATAAATAAGTGCATAAAGTATTTTGGTTTTTGAACGAGCTGAAATATTTAAGTGCAAAACACTCCATAATCACTTCTTTCAATATTGCCTTTATCTCTCACTGCGGCCCAGCATCATTCACGCAGATACGGTGCTTTGTGTAGTTCCACGAGTGTGGTGGCTGCTCCTTGTGTCCTTGTGACTGGACTCTAGTTATGAGAACACATGGTTCACATGGAAGAGCAAATATCTTTGGTTTTTCAGTGAAGTGCAACCTCATAATACAAAATAGAACTATGTTTTCTCCTTTCTTACCCCAGCCTGCATTAATCTTGTGCCTCCATTACATCATCAACCACATTATTCTAAGTATGTATTTGTACTTACGTCTTCATACTAGATCGTAAACTCCTTGGAGGAGCAGAATTTTATTCATGCTTTTTATTCATTATAAAAAGGATGATTCTAGATCTATAAGGCAAACTTTGTAATGGTATCTTGTTAGCAAAAAAATTAGTGGCAGGATATTTCTATTGTGATTGTTCTTTCTCCCACCATATAGTGTACAAAGAAGCTGCATCTTATGTAAGATGCATATAAGACACATACAAACACGAAAGAGTGAACTCCAAGATCCCTGTGCTTGTGTGCCAGGCTGATGACTTGAGTCGAGGAGAAATGTGCTTTTACAGGGGTTGGTGTTGTTTGAGGACGTCGCTGTGGACTTCACCTGGGAGGAGTGGCAGGACCTGGATGATGCTCAGAAGACCCTGTACAGGGACGTGATGCTGGAGACCTACAGCAGCCTGGTGTCCTTGGGTGAGCAAAACTCCCTAGTAACTCCCAGGAGCAACACTTTCTTCCTTGTTGATAAATATAGGAACGCTTAATAAGGTTTTATGGTATTTAGGTGTAAGATTCTAGTCTGTGAAGATTGTGTCAACCCTCAGTCACAAAGGTTCGAATTGGCCCCTTCATTGCACAGCTCCTGAAGCCAAGCTGTTGTCATTCTGAAATGGACCTGACTTAGCAGTTTGGCCAAGTCTTACATTATATCCCATTCCCAGGGCACTGTGTCACCAAACCCGAGGTGATCTTCAAGTTGGAGCGAGGAGCAGAGCCATGGATGGTAGAAGAGTCCTCAAAGCAGAGCCTCCCAGGTCAGTCAATGCATACTGGGCAGGGAAGCCTGGAAGAGTAAACCCGGCAGACATTAGCAGTGTTGACCTATTTTCACCAATTTTTTCCCCCCAGGTTCTAACCTGAGGACAGCTGGTCTGTATGAATTACGTAGTATTCAAGGAGGGCTCTCATGCCTATATCCCTGCCTTTTATTTTGCTGAGTATTTTAAAATATTTACTCAAAATCTAATCCCTATCCTTCTCTTATTAGACATTTTTCTTTGCTATTCATTTTTTCAGTTTTCTTGTTGCCCTCTCTTCCTCCATTGTCATGGACTGTTTTTTTCAGACATTTGTTCATTCATCTTTCTTTCAGCACATCTTAATCGATCAGCTTTTTAGCACTTGTAATTTTATGGTTGTACTTATAACAGTGATGATCAAAATAATGTCCCTTTTTACTTAAGTTTACATTCTGATGAGAAAGAAACAGGAAAATAATATACGTTAAGTAGTTGTATAAAAACCTTGAGAAATGTTTAACCTGAGTGAGAGAGAAAAAAGTGGGATGTGATAATTTAGGAAGGGTGGTGAGAGAAGGCAGTTTGAGAGTGATTATTAAGTGTTCACTTTGGCATAGCTTCAGATTGAGCTGTTTTCCACTTTCGACATATAATAGGTGAATTTAAAATATATATTTGAGAGTGGACATCACTATTGGAGATACAAATTTGGAAATTGGTAACTTAAGGCTGCTATTTTGAATTTTAATTATAGAAGTTACCTGTGGAGTTGATAAAATGAGAAAAGTCCAGAAGTGAGTTTTCTGTACCATAACATCAGAAATCCTGACATTGAGGAATACCCAGCATAGACATATGGAAAAAGATAGTCCTGGACTTGGTAGGAGAACCAGGAGAGTCTTAGTTCCAAAGCCGATTGAAGCAAGGGTTTCATGTGGAAGAGCCCAGATTTCTGCTTGAGAGTGGAGTTTGTAGTTAGCATTTCCCCTTATCTTTGTGGAAATCATTCTAAAACAACAAAGAGGATGAGAAATCTACAGGAGACTCCATTTTTTATGAAACTTGGAGACAACTGAAATTCTAATGCATAAGCATAAAATGCCTTCAAAAGCAGTGAATTATCAGGCATGGGTGGGTGTACCAGGAGTGGGTGGGAGAAAAGAACACCAGAGCTGTTGATTTCAGAAGGAGCTGGAGAAAAAATTTTTCAAATATGGTGGACGCAGTCTGGGTTGCAGAACCCAATCATTTAGAGTAGCGGGGGGATGAGGTGCCCATGGTAAAAGACTGGAGCTTCATATATCTGTTGTACTTCTGAGAAGCAAAAGGAGTTGGGTTAAGTTAGAAATTCGCAAGAAGCAGTCTTCACGTAGTGTGGAGAAGATATTTTACATTTGAAAACCTCTTAGATGCGTATACCTGTTCCCAAGGAAGAGTGAAAACTAAAGAAACACTGGTGTAAAATCCAGTCCCAAAGCCATATTCTGGCTTAGGTGACTTGCAAAGGCCATCTTCTGTACCTGCAGATAGCTGATTCAGGAATACCTTAACATCTTCAAAGCAGAATAATGAAAAAAATACCAGCATGAGGCACCTCCCATTGTTACAAAAGTAAAATAGAGAAAAAGAACAGAGAAATCAAATGTCACTTGATAACTACTTAGTTGAAAACTACAACTAGGCAGTAGGTAAATATTTGAAACATTTCTTCTTGAATTTAAAAAGAAAATTAAAATTAAGCAGGGAAAAATATGATTCAGATTAGAAGATCCATTAATGTAATTTCTTATGTCATTAAGTCCTTAGGAAGAACAAGCATGTACTTATAAAATCAGTTCTGATTATTGATTTTTATAAAATTTTATGCCACTAGGATGGAAAATAACTTCTTTACCTTTACATGAGCATTCCATAAGAAATGCTTAGGTGTGAATCATGGATATGGTGGTTTTTTTTCCCTAATTTCAGATGTCAATATAGTTGATGACATAATGGAGAGGAGCCAGGAAATTCACAGTAGACATCTGTGGCAAGGTATAATCACCAACAGCAAAACATCAAATGAGGAGAGAGTTGAATTAGGAGAAGCACTTAATTTGAGCTCAAACCGTATTCTAAATCTGATGATAAATAATGAAAACTATTCAGGGATGAGTCCTGTGGAGTTTAATGTACATCAGAATGGGTTCGTCCCTATTGAGCCTGATGAGATGCAGGCTGGAGAGAAACCTGATGGTCAAAGTGTAACTGAGGAATCTCTTACACATCATGAGCATCTTTGTCATCATCACAAGATGCAAACTGAGCAGCAGCTTTTTGAATATAGTAGACACGTAAAAGCCTTCAACACAGAAGCAATGTTCATTATACATAAGAGGGTTTATGTTGGAGAAACCTCCTGTAAATATAATAAATATGAGGGAGACTGTGATAAGTCAGCACTCATTGCCCAGAAGACAACTTTTGAATGTGATGTATGTGGGAAAACCTTCTATAAAAAGTCTAAACTTACTAAACATCACAAAATACACACAGGAGAGAAACCCTATAAATGTAAAGAATGTGGGAAATCCTTCATTAAGAAATCATACCTTACAAACCATCAGAGAACACATACACAGGAGAAACCTTATGTGTGTACCAAATGTGAGAAATCTTTCTGCCAGAAGTCAAACCTAACTGTTCATCAGAGAATCCACACAGGGGAAAAACCCTATGGATGTAATGAATGCGGGGAATCTTTCTGCCAAATGTCAGCCCTTGTCTATCATCACAGAATACACACAGGAGAGAAACCCTATGAATGTATTCAGTGTGGGAAAACCTTCTACCAGAAGTCAGCCCTTGGTGTACATCAGCGAACTCACACAGGGGAGAAACCCTATGAGTGTAATGAATGTGGGGAAACCTTTTACCAGAAGTCAGTCCTCACTGTACACCACAGAACTCACACAGGTGAGAAACCATATGAATGTAAAGAATGTAGGAAAACTTTCTACAATAAATCAGCCCTCACCGTACATCAGCGAACTCACACAGGGGAGAAACCATACGAATGTAAAGAATGTAGAAAAACCTTCGCCCAGAAGTCAAAACTCACAGTACATCAGAGAACTCACACAGGGGAAAAACCCTATGAATGTAATGAATGTAGAAAAACTTTTTGCCTCAATTCAGTTCTTACTATACATCAGAGAACTCACACTGGGGAAAAACCTTATGAATGTAATAAATGTGGGAAAACCTTCAGCCAAAAATCAAACCTCAGGATGCATCAGGGTACTCACACAGGGGAAAAACCCTACGAATGTAGTGACTGTGGAAAAACCTTCCACCAGAAGGCAGTCCTCACTACACATCAGAGAACTCACACAGGGGAAAAACCCTACAAATGTAATGAATGTGGAAAATCCTTTAGCCAGAAGTCAAACCTCAGGATGCATCAGAGTACTCATACAGGGGAGAAACCTTATGAATGTAATGAATGTGGAAAATCCTTCTACCAAAAGTCAGTCCTCGCTACGCACCAGAGAACTCACACAGGGGAAAAACCCTATGAATGTAATGAATGTGGAAAAACCTTTCGCCAAAGGGCAAACTATAGCAGGCATCAGAAAATTCACCTGGGAGAGAAACCCTATGAATGTAATGCGTGTGGGGAAACCTTCTACCAGAAGTCATCTTTCACTGTGCATCAGAGATCTCACACAGGTAAGAAATCCTATGAATGTAATGAATGTGGGAAAATATTCTACCAGAAGTCATCCCTCACCATACATGAAAGAATTCACACTGGGGAGAAGCCCTATGAATGTATCGAATGTGGGAAAACCTTTTGCCAGAAGTCAACCCTCAATAGACATCAGAGAACTCATGGAGGTGAGAAACCATATGAATGTAAAGAATGTAGGAAAGGGTTCTACCAGAAGTCAGCCCTCACACTGCATCACAGAACTCACACATGTGAGAAGGCCTATTAATGTATTGACAGTGACAAGCCATCACCAAAACAGATGTTACAGTACATCAGAGGATATGTACAGGGAATAAATCCTGTACATTTAACCAATGTGAGAAATTTTTCAGCCTTAAATCATGCCTTACTATGTGTCCATCAGAGAATTCACACAGGGAAAAACTCTATGGCTGTAATGAATGTTGGAAAAACCTTTTAGTAAATGTCAAACCTCAGGCATCAGGAAATTCACACAGGAGAGAAACACTAAGAATGTAATGAATATAGGAACACCTTTTGGCTGAAGTCACACTTCAGGTATCAGGGAACTCATATAGGAGAGAAATCCTGACTGGCTATGTGTTCTTCAGAATTTGCTTTTTTCTCTTGGACACGCTGCGCATTGCATTTCTCAGCCTCCCCTTAGTGTTGGTGGGCCCATGTAACTGAATTTTGCAGTGGAATATTATGTAAGTGATGATTATTACTCCTAGGCAGGGCTGGATCAGATAAAAACTGCCAGGCAGTCATCCCTGTTTTCTCAGGTCCTCTGGGACTGATCGGCAAATGACCCTCATGGCGGCCTCAGGAGCTATAGGCAGGAGAAGGTGACTATGATTTAAGACTGAAGGAATTGATTAGAAAAAGTAGTCTTCCCATTCCTATCCCCAAATCCTATGTTTGTAATTTATGTGAGTGATAAATAAATACCTATGACTTTGAGCCATTGTATGTGTGATGTTTGCATTACACCACAAAGAGCCCACTGTAGCTTATTCATGGTATGAACTTTTTGAGAGAAATTACCAGCCCTTGCATATCACAAAATTCACACGGGAGAAACCTTTGTTGTCACCTTTTATCCCCAAATTAGTTTATGCAAAAGTAGAAGAAATCATGTGCAGCAGCGAATTGGGAACACCTTGTAAGGCAGGAACGTGTTGTTGAACAGTGATAATGAAGTAAATCATTATAAATATTTCCCCCTCTGCCCCCACATCACACTCAGGGAGCAGATCCTGTTCTCCAACCAGAGGCCACTTTCTCTCTGAGTGCCACCATGGCATTTGACCCCAGTCTTTCCCAAGGCATCAACCCCTTACCAAATTTATGCCAGGCCATGGATGTCACTGATGCCCATGCTTGTCATCACGCACTGCCAACCCTGTCTGCTTCACCACCGCCAGATGGCACTTTAGCTGTGATTCAGTCTAAATCTATTTCGACCTTTGGAAGCTTATTCTGGAGACGTCCTCTCCAGATAGTGCTGATGAATTGTCCGCTTATGTCCCTACAATCAGAGCCATTGACCCTCTAAGCCTAGCAGGTTCAGAATTCTCCTGGTGGCAGCCTCATGCCCAGGACTTGTTCCCCTCCGACTCTGCACCACGTGATTTCAGGCAAGAGCTTCTTGCCCTCCACTCTTCTGAGGCCTCATTTGCGGGAGACCCTGCAGCCAACCTTGTGGTATCTGTTTTCCTCTCCCTGCCCAACTCTGATGTTTTGGCACTCTTGGAGAGACAAGTTAAAAACGGGGGTGATTTCCTTCCACATCAGGAAATCACCCCCCTTTTTAAGGACGATGCAAGAAGGATCAGGGACTTAGCCTAGAGAATGGCCCAAAAGATCATCTTTGAGGCCCTTGCATTATTCCCTGACAGACTGGCCGTGTGACTTTCTAGGTCGTTCACAGAGTTAGACCCCAGACCCTTATCTGAAGACCTCTCTGGGCCCAAAAGATCATCTGTCAAGTGACTCAGGGAGGTCTTCAGAAAAGGGGCTGGGATCTAACTCCATAAACGACCTAGAAAGTCACACGGCCAGTCTGTCAGGGAATAATTCAAGGGCCTCCAGTGTGAGCCTGGGTCCAAAACATCTGGAACACGCCCTGACAGTACTATTGAGCAAGAAACTTGAGGAAATCAATGAGAGATTTCTGAGACTCTGCATAATTCTTGGCGTTCTATCAAGCACACAGTGCCTCTTCCTCAGAAATCCCACAGGCAAAAAAAAGAAATTTGGCACAGTTGTGTTGGGACCACTGCCTGAATACTTCCCAGGAGATTTTCTGTCTTGCAAACAAGATGTTGGAAGCCCATATTAAAAGTATTCATATGAGGATGATGTGGAGTCTTCACCCCAAGATGCCTGAATCCATACAAATCTTTAACTTGAAAGAGGCTTCATGCCAGTTTTTTTTTGCATTTCCAACCTTGCCTCTAACCAACCTTATCTCTGGGGTGGATTCCAAAGACAGGATCTCCAGTCCCCCTAGAGGAAGCTCTAAAGCTTTTCTTGAAGAAAAGGTCAGAACAACAAATTCAGTTCCTAGTCGGTTCACCCCGTCCCTGCCGCCTCAACTGTGGGCAAAGGAGGACAGGGAGCCCTGAGACAATCACCCTCTGATACCAACCATGAGCTGACAGAGACATCCGGGCAATTGAGGATGGCAGACAGACTTTTCTGCCCCTGCTTACAGCAGCAGACAAGACGTTAGAGGAGATGCTTGTGGGAGCAAGTCTTGTCCAACCCTGTCACTGAAGAGACAGCCTCCTTCTGAACATCGTTTCAGAAAGTAATTTGCTTTTGGCAGTGGCCTTCTAACCAGAATAAACCCCAAGGGGGAAGAAAATTCTCTGGGAAAGGCAGCTCCCTACTGTGTCAGGAGTATTCCCCGTTCATGCTCCACAGGGAGCCTGTGCCCCGTCCAGGCTGCACCTGCAGGTGTCAAGTTGGCAGGTGCCTCCGGCTGCCCCACCACTGCTGAAAACAGTGTGTCCCTACCAGTAAGAAAATGCTTCCCGTGCCTTTCCTGAGAGGAAATTCATTTCCCAAAATTAATGTTGATTCTCCCTTTTGAGGATCAATAGATTCCTCTCAACAAATGTCCTAATAAGAGCTGGTGTCTTTTCTTTTTGCTGTGTTGGGGCCACAGGTTTTGGGTAACCTAGAGCTTTTGCTTAGTAAAGACAGGGAGGAGCTAGTTCGCCTCTTCCTAATTGCCTATTTTGTCTTCTAAAAGGTGACCAGTCCCCTGGAGTTCTTGTTGAGGAATGGATATCATGTGCCCCCAGTCCCCCTTTCCTGCCTGAAGTCTGAGAAGACGGGCTCTGTTTCCTACCTCTTAGCTTTGCCTTAATGACACTATATTGCCTCCCACACCTTCCCCCTTATTGGCTGTTTCATGTCCTTTAGAGCAATAAAGAAGATACGTATATATTTCAAAAAATAGGGCTTAGTCATTTCTAAGAAAAAGCTGTTGGTGACCAGAGGATCACACAGGTGGGTGGGAGTGTTTGGGGTTATTGCTGCCGTGGACACTGGGCTGGTTGGGGCAGGTCTGAGGAGCAGGGCAGACGCTGCCCAAGAACCTGTCATGTGGGGCGTGCTCAGGGGTTGGGGAAGCACGGTTGGACTTGATGGTGCGGATTCCATACCAGAAAGTCACCTGGGGAAGTAGTTCCCCTCCCAGGGTATTTCTTCAGGCTGCCTGGACTGGTGACATTTGCACAGCAGAGGGACCACCCAGCTGTCGGGGCAGGAATGTCACCAAGGCAGCCGCTTCCCTCCTGGGTAAAATAAAACTGAGAGTAAGGAAAAAATCTGAGAAAGGAAAATCTGAGTAAGGAAAAAAGCTGAGAGTGAGCCAAAAATCTCAAACATTATGTAAAACTCAAGACAACATAGTCAATCGTCCATTTAAAAAATGTATTTATTTGAAAGAAAGTAACTTGCAGAAAAGTTGCATGAACGGTAAACAACAGCTAACCCTCTATCCAAATTTACCTGTTTTTAACATTTTGACCCATTTATGATCTCTCTCCTCTCTCTCCCTCTCCCTCCCTCCATCCCTTTTTCTCTGTTCTCTCTTTCTCTCTCTCCCCCTCTGCACACACACAGAAAATATGCATACATTCCTGAATATTTATAAATATATTTCATACATCATGCACTTTCTCCTTGAATATTTCATTGTGTATTTCTTAATAAAAGGATATTCTATTATATACTCAATTATTCCCTTCAGTAAATTTAGCATTGGCTTAAAAATTTTAACTAATTTCTTATCCATATTCCAATTTTATAATTTTTGGTAATATCCCTTGTGGCTTTTAAAAAAAATCTCCATTACAGGATCCAGTCTAGAGTCACATATTGCATTTAGTTGCTATTTGTCTTTAGTTGCCATTAATTTGAAGCAGTTTCTCTGTATTTTTTTGGGCATGGCCATTTTTGAAGAATATATTCCATGTGACATTTTATAACCTCTTCTCACCTGGAAATTTTTTGATGGAGCTTATCTTGCTCAGACTTCAAAGGATGTTTTCACATTTGTGAGTACAGGCACCTAAGAGGCTGTCAGGACCAGACTTGTTATAAACAAACAAACATATGAAACAACAAACAACAATACCAGAGATGCAAGGCCACATGGAGAGGTTTTTCTGAACACAGAGACCTCCTGTAGTCACGGGAGGATAGGGGAGAAGAGGCACGCTTTGGGCAGGGACAAGAGGGAAGCCATGGATGCAGGAGAAGACAGGCAGAGGAGGAGTTGTCACTGGTAAACTCACGTGGAAGGGAAGGAAAGGGTCAGTGTCTGGGGCCAAAGGGGATTCATCAGACTCAGGCAGTGTGGACGAGCAATGTAAGGAATTGACACACGGCTTACCTTCAGCAGTTTGTGATCTAAGTAGGGACACTCTAAGGGTACAACTGTTAAATGGCTGGCTAACATGGGGAGAGAAAACAAATACATACACCATCAACAAAAGTGACATCATTGTTTTCAAAAGTATAGAGGAACCAATAGGAATTGTGGTGAAAAGTGAGAAAGTAGTTGGGAAAAAAAATCATAAAACTTTTCATGGAGGAAGTAAACACAATTGTGATTCAAAACAAAAGGCATCGCTAAATACAGTTTCAATTGTGTTCATTAGAGGTGACGTTATTCTAAAGACAAGCCTGCTCCCTAAATCAGGATGGGTCTGGTTGTGCAGGTTGTGGTTCAGCACCATTGCTCTGTAAAACTGAGGTAGAATTTTAAAATTTTGGGAAGGGGAGAGGGAGCGGCAGGGCGGGACATTGTGCGGGTGGAGAGGGCTGGATTTGAGAGCGCTTAGGGGCAGAATAGCCTAAAAGGGATTTGGGGAGAAAGAATTCCTGAAAGTTTTCAAGTGGTTTGCTGTGGGTGTGCCATGCCCTTGTCCCCCTTGTTGTCCAGGCTACGCTGTCCTTCAGTGACTGGTGACATGGATCCTTCTGAGGAAGCAGGGAGGGGTGGGCTGCTGGTTGTGCACAGGTGAAACAGCCGCACGTGGGAGAGCTGGAGTTGAGG